AATCTAGATTCTCTTGATAACTTAAAATTTCCATTTTTATTTTTGCCCTTTTTTGATGAGGATTTTTTTCTTAAAGTCTTCATAAGTATATTCTTTATGTTAACTATCTTACTATAAATATTTCTTCACAAATAAACATAATACAATACGTTGGGTAATACCGCTTCAAAATTCTAACCTCCTTCTTTCTGTGCTCTCCTCTCTGTCTCAGTATCTCAATGCGTATCCTTAAATTTATTACTGTTGAGTCAGAACCAGCTCATAGCTGACCCCTCAATGGGTTTTCGGGGGGAGACTGCTCAACTTTCTCCCCTTGGTTCAGAAAACACTCCTCTATTATAATATATTGTTTTAAAAAGTCATCTAAGTTTCCAAATTAAAATTATTTCACTGATTTTTTTTTTTTTTACAACCACAGATTTGGGGCGTTAAAAACATGTTCCCTTGTAGGAATTGTTTTCATAGTTGTTGTGTACCGTCGAGTCGGAACCAACCCATAGCTGACCCTCCAAGGGATTTTCAGAGGCAGCTAATCTCATGGGAAGAGATCACCCATCCTTCTCCCGGGGAGTGGCTGGTGGCCTCAAACCACATGTCTTTGGGATTGCAGTGCACCTTCTTGCCACTAGGCCACCAGAGGTCCCTTTTACTTTTAGTTAGATGAAAAATAAAAGGGGGGGGGGGGAGAAAACACCCCCAACCCAACTCCAAGAAACTCCAAATCAGTAACTTCAGTCTGATTAAGTCTGATTCTCTGTGTCTTAATCACTTTTTGTTATATAAAAAATTCATTCATTGGCTTTAGTGAAACTCAGTGACCCTAAAGAGTGAATGCTTGTCAAAATCCTTTCTTTGGTCCCTTCATCTTAGGTAAACAACTTAAATCCTGTGGATTTTCAGAAGAACAAGGAAAGATACATGGAGTGAAAGTGCTAGTTTAGAATTCAAGTTATATTGCTGGAGGCATTGCGATTTGAAATAATAGTTCATGTTAAATAATAGTGCACTGCAGATTCATATAATCTTGGAGCAAGAGGTAGCTTTTGAGATGTTTTAGCCTCACATAGTGCTTATCACTGAACAAGCCTTCAGCTAGTATTTGTTAAATAATAAAGAAATTGAGTCCAGAGGAATTAGGTTGTTCTTGCTCACTGGTGGTTGGTTCTTCAAGAGCCATTGCAGTAGGAGGAAGGGGTGGGAGACTGAAAAGATGGAGACCTCCTAGCCCGATCTACTCTATCAATTGACTCCTTAACCATACTGGGAGGATGCTGGAAGCTGCTGATTTAACCCAATTTTGTTATTTTACAGAACAGAAAGCAGCGATCGGATGTTTGATCCTTGATGGTGGCTGCAGGTTGAAACAGCTCTTTGCTGGAGTTGAGCAGCAATGGCCCTTTTCCACCTTTCATTTTCTAGAACCAATGTCAGAAGATAACTAATTTCTTGATACCTTAATACAAATTTCAGTTGAGTTTTCTCACCCAGGATAGGCGTGGACAGTTACAGTCCTTTTAGAGAGTTGTTTTCTGCTACTTAGGATCAGTTGTCTGTCTGGGTTAAGATACTCTCCCATATTCTCAATTGCCTCTTATTTTTGCTCCTGACTTTCCCACCATTTCTGCTGATTCTCTTGGATTTTAAACTTCTATCTGGTTTCTGAGAGAAGAGGGTGCTCAGAATTGCAGGGATGACCACTTCTGCTTTCTCAGAGGTCATAGGGATATAAACACTCTGCCTCCAAGCTTTTCCCAGAGTTCTTTTAAAACAGACTTGAATTACAGCAGTCAGATGGAGAAGAACACTACTGTGTTACCACCCAAACCAGGATTTAAGTATGTCATCAGGACTGAAGAACACATCCATCAAGTCCTCAAGTCAGTGGGCACTGGACGAGGTCTAAACCATAAGAAGATATTGTCTTTTCTCTTGAAGAATTTAGGAAGCTCTGATGGCTTAGTAGTAAGGGATTGTGCCTCCAACCCAAAGATGCATGGTTCAAATCGATCAGATATTCTGCAGGAGGAAGATGGGCAGTCCCCTCCTATGTAATTTAGTACCTCTGAAATCCCACGGGCGGTCCCACTGTCACTTCCAACTCGAAGGTACTTAACAACAACAAGTTGAGGAATTTAGAATATATAGATGTCTGTTCCCTTGAGTTTATTGTGCTTTCATGGTTGTGTCATTACCATTACTTTATTTGAAATTCATAACCATTTTCTTTGTAGGCAAGAGAAGTTTTGTTCTTATGATGAGGATAAGGAAAAAAGTTTAGAGAAATGAATTGACCAAGAGCTCAAGGATAATGTTGTTGCTGTTGTTATGTGCCATCGAGTCGCTTGTGACTCATTGCAACCCTATGTACAAGAGCCCTAAACACTGTTTTATCCTGTGCCAACATAGCCATCTCAAATGCACTTATTCCCAACTCTCCAGTCACAGAATCGATCCATCTCAGCAAAGGTCTTCCTCTCCTTCACTGCCCCTCCACTCTGCCAAACATGATGTCCCTCTCCAAGGACCAGTCCCTCCTTGCAACATGCTCAAAATATGTCAGATGAAGCTTCAGAATCCTTGACTCCAAGGAGCATTCCAGCTTCATCTTCTCCAGGACAAGCCTGTTTATTCTCTTAGCAGTCCATGGTATATTCAATACTCTTCTCCAGCACCACAGCTCAAAGGCATCAATTCTCTTTCTATCATCCCTAGTCACTGTCCAACTCTCTGATGCATAGCATGTAATTGCAAAGACTATGGCCCGGATCAGGTGCACCTCAGACTCCAGCCTGACGTCGTTACTCTTCAGTACTCTTGAGAGGTCCCTCAGAGTTTACTTCACCAAAGCAATTGATATCCTGACTATTGTTACCAAGAATGTTGACTGTGGAGCCAAGTAAACTAAAACAGGAGGCATAAATTGGACATATGCACACGTTTTCTGATGCCATCTCTCAGTGGAAACTTACTTTATTCTGCAAGGTCTTTTCACTTCTCTCTTCCCAAGCTCCAACCATATGTGGTTTCTTAGCAGTGTGCCCTGCACTGACACACACAGTCTGCATCTGTTGAGCAGAATTTTTCTCTTACTAAATCTTTTAAAGTCTACAAGTGAACTCTGACTAAAGTTAGGGAACCTGGATAAGCCTTTGCTTTTCATTATACCATATAGATGGTATAGAAAAATTTCACTAAGCCAAATCTGTTCATTAACCCATCAGTCCTACATATTTTGTATGCCTTTGATGGTCACAGCTCTGTGATAAACATAAATTGGTAAAGGCGACCACTGCCTCAACTATCTGGTTAGGAAGACCAGACTAGTTTAGAGGAACATGAAATTTTATCCTAGAGGGAATATTAAAGTTAACTGGCATACCATAGACCAAATAAAATGTTCTATATACTACCTTGGTGAGTAACGACTGGAGGCTTACAAGCTTATGGGTGGCCAACTGAGGTGCACCCAGCTATTGTTTTCTGTCTGTGTGGAGCAAAGAAGAGTGAAGAAAATCTAAGGCACCTGAGCACAGCCTAATGGATCCATGAAAATTCAAACCTCCATCTCACCACCCTGAGACGAGAAGAACCACATGGTCCCCAGCTACCATTGCTGGCTGCTCTGAAAGGTATTACAGTAGAAGGTCCTGGATAGAGTAGGAGAAAAATGTGGAATAAGACTCAATTCTCAGTAAATACTAGGCTTACTGGTCAGAAAACCTTTCAGGCCTAGAACCCAACTTATCTGACTCAGTTTTCAGCTAAAAACTCAGGTGAATTATAAGGTGAATACTACCAGAGAGGTCTGTATTCCTTAGAATAATAATTGGTGCACATCAAGTTCAGTATTTTCAGAACAACAAAATTAAGAAGGAAGGAAAAGCAAGAAAAAAGGCAGGAAAGGAAAAGAAACGGGATGAGCAACCCATGCAGTAGGTGGGATGAATGCTGCGACATTGTGAGGAATTACAATCAACATCATAAAACAAAATGCATATGAATTTTTGCATGGAATACTGATCTGCTCTGTAAACCTTCACCCAATTCATGATAAGGAGGTTTAAAAAACCTAACCTACTAACAATAACAGGTAAAATGTTCAAAGCAGTAAATGTTGCTATTAAATGATATAAAAAGAACAAATTCTTAAGTGTTAAAAGTGCAATTAACTCTGTATTTATTTAGTATCAGATCCCAGGACGGCACAAATAGCTTCACCTTGATTGTTAATTTAAAGGTTGGAAACTAGAACCCACACAGTATGCTTGGTTATATGCTTCCATAAAGATTTCAGTCAAGAAAATCTATCTAACACACGAGTTCACTATGAATCAGTAACAAGTGCTGTGTTTTTGGTAGAATGACACAGAAACACAGCCCCCCTCCTCAAACATAAAAAGAAAAGGCATGTGCAACTGATCCCAGGTCAGAAGAGGTTTGAGCTGTGAGGCTTCACTTATACCTGGGGTTTTGTTTACCTCTTGTCATTGCAGTGAGCTCACATGTTGCTAGTCTTTTCTGAACCAGCAGCTCACCTCTCCCAGGAGACGCCAACTGCTCACCCGGAGATGATTAGTATCACACAGAGTTTTAATCAGATACTCGAAACACTTGAGCTCATCACAATAGCAATGCCAAAAAAACAATCAGGGTGTAATTGGGCCCATGCAGTTCAAATCTGTGTTGTTCAAAGGTCCAGTGTAAATTATATTTGGATTTTTTTGACTGTTTGGAGACCATCATCCCTACACCTCAAGTTGTTCAAGTGTCAATTGTATTTTTTTCTCTTCCTTTTGAATTTTTAAATAAGTTGTTTATTTAGATTCAACATTAGGAATCACCAGTTTCCAAGGATGTGAGTGGTTGATGGTTCAAGAAAGGCCTGCTTGGGACCCTGGAGGCTTTCTTGGCCTGGATCATTGTGTCTCTACATACCTGTCTTTTACGTCCTGTAAGTACTTAAATAAGAGATTGGTCTCATGATATGTCTTTCTTCTTAGAGTAAAAGAAAGAGGAGGCTTAATACTCACACGACGAATACGAGACCTGTGGGAGCTTCATCAGTCCTTCGACATTGTGGTCAACTGTTCAGGCCTTGGAAGCAGAGAGCTCGCTGGAGACACACAGATCCTGCCTGTGAGGGGTCAAGTGCTCAAAGTTCAGGCTCCCTGGGTGAAGCATTTTATCCGTGAAGGGAGTGGGATGACCTACATTTACCCAGGCATATCCAGTGTAACCCTGGGTGGAACTAGGCAAAAAGGAGACTGGAATCTGTCCCCAGACCCAGAAATTAGCAGAGATATCCTTTCCCGATGTTGTGCTCTTGAGTCCTCTCTGCATGCAGCCTATGATATAAGAGAGCAGGTGGGCTTGCGGCCCTCCAGGCCAGGTGTAAGGCTGCAGAAAGAGCTGCTAGTCCAAGATGGCAGGAAACTGCCTGTTGTCCATCACTATGGCCATGGAAGTGGGGGCGTCTCTGTGCACTGGGGCACAGCTCTGGAGGCCACCAAGTTGGTAAGTGAGTATGTTTGTGCTCTGAGGACCCCTGCTTCCAAGGCTAAGCTGTAGGTGATGTAATAAATGGCCCCAGAGACTACTGATTAGAGCAGAATTTAATGAAGCATTGGAGCAGGTTCAAATAACTTCTATTGCATGAAAGTTGAAGTAGACATTTCTTTGTTTTCAAGATTAGCAATATGCAATGTGTAGTTGTAGATTTAGAAAATCTAGTACTAATGAATTACTTAACATATAGAGCTCTATTTTTATTGAAACATTTGTTATTAAGATTTCTTTTAGGTTTGGTGTCCAAGGATCTCTGCTAATTTATACAGATTGTGTCAGCTGTAGACATTTGACATCTTTTTTTTTTGCCTCATAAACCCACAGGAGATAATGGAGAGCATCTAAATCACTGTCACTTGTAGGTAGAACTGTACGATCCAATTAAATTTTAGCTAAGTGAGTGGTATACTCCCTCTCAATAAAATTACATGTTCATCCCGCAATACAAGCTAATTATGTTTAATTGAAGACAAAGTATAATTATTGTTAATACGAATGGTAACTTCTTCCCCTCAACTAGTAATGATGGTAGAAGATGAGGATGAAGTAGCCTACGGATATGGCATCAGTTCAGTTGCTGCTCAGGGTTAACCACCCAAGTCTTTCGTTCAGTTACTACAAATGATTGAGAGTTGGACTCTCATATGGTTGACTTTGCCTAAGCATATTTGAAAATGGAGCATCATGTGCCGCCAAAGAGCTAATTTGCTAATTAAGATGAAGCAATCACTCCAAAAGGAATAGAACCGAAGGCCTCTATGCAAGTTCAAAAGTGCAGGTGTGCCTCATTTTATTACATATCACTTTTTAGTGCATTGCGGATAGTGTGTTTTTTAATGACTTGAAGTTTCATGACAATACTGCATCAAGTGAGTCTGTTATTTTTCCCAAGCACAGTAGTTTTCCAAGTGCACGATGCTTTGTGTGTCTGTCAGATTTTTGGCAATTCTCACAATGTTTCAAACTTTCCCATAATCACTCCTTTACTAAACTGCCAAACCAAAATCCAAGCCCAAAGCTGATTCCATTCCTCTCATGATGACCTTACATTGGGTTTCCTTGGCTATAAATTACAATGGGAATAAAGATCCGATCTTTCTTCTGTAGAGCAGCTGGTAGATTAAAACCAGCAACCTTTTAATTTGCAGCCCATTGTGCAACCCATTGTGTCTCCAGGGGTCCTTTAATAGACTATGTTGTTGTTGTGTACCACAGAGTTGGAATCAACTCATAACTGACACGCCACCAGGTTTGCAGAGGTGGTAAATTACACTGAAGGAGATTGCTCATCCTTATACCAAGGAACTACTGCTGGTTTTGAACTACATGGCTTTGGGATTGTAGCACAGCTTCTTACCATTAGGTCAGCAGAGCTCTCTTGATAGACTATGTTGTTGTTGTTTGCATCGTTGGGCCAGAACTGACCCACAGCTGACACTCCAGTGCATTTTCAGAGGCGATTAATGCCATGGTAGGAGATTGCCCATCCTTCTCCCACGAAGCAGCTGGTGGTCAGTGTAGTGTAAAAATAACTTTTATATGCACTAGGAATCAAACAAAATCCAAGCGACTTGCTTTATTGTGATATTTAATTGCTTTCTGTGATTTGAAACTGAACTCACACTATTTCCAAAGTATACCTGTACTGGGAAAGGGTAGGAGATTGCCCCAAAATCAAGATATTTAAGATATTTCTTGACTCAAGTTTGCACAAACCATTATAATGTATATATATACATATATACACACACACACACACACACACACACATATATATGTTGTTGTTATGTGCCATCGAGTCGTTTCCGACTCATAGCGACCCTATGCACAACAGCTCTAAACCCTGCTCTATCCTGCGCCAACCGCACCGCCTCTGACACACCCATCCCGATTACCCCAGTCACCGAATCAATCCATCTCATAGAGGGTCTTCCCCTCCTGCGCTGTCCCTCCACCCTCCCAAGCATGATGTCCCTCTCCAAGGACCCGTCCCTCCTGGCAACGTGTCCAAAGTATGTCAGACGAAGCCCCAGAATCCTTGCCTCCAAGGAGCAGCTTGGTTTAATCCTCTCCAAGATGGATCTGTTTGTTTTCCTGGCAGTCCAGGGTACATTCAGTACCCTTCTCCAGCACCACAGCTCAAAAACATCCACTCTCCTTCTGTCCTCCCTAGTCATTGTCCAACTCTCTGATGCATAACAAGCGATTGCAAATACCATGACCTGTATCAGGCGCACCTTAGTCTCCAGATATACACTGTTGCTCCTGAGTACGTTTGAGAGGTCCCTAACGGCAGACTTTCCCATCGCGATACGCTTTTTGATTTCCTGACTGCTGGTACCAAGAGTGTTAACTGTGGAGCCGAGCAAAGTGAAGCTGTGAACACTCTCAATCTCTTCATCATCCATCTGCTGCCAATTGGTCCAGTGGCGAGAATCTTTGTCTTCTTGACGTTGAGCCTTAGTCCATACTGAAGGCTGCAGTCCTTGACCCTTCACAGCAAGTGCATGAGGTCCTCCTCAGTTTCAGCAAGCAAGGTTGTGTCATCTGCATAACGGAGATTGTTGATAGATCTTCCACCAATCCTGATGCCACAATTCTCCTCATAGAGCCCAGCCTCTCGGATAATCTGCTCTGCATACATGTTGAAAATGTGTATATATACACATATATATACATACATATATATGCACATATATATACATATATGTGTGTGTAGTGTATATAGTATATATTTATGTGTATATATTATATATAATGTGTATATATATTGTATTTGGGGCTTATATACATAGTAAAAGACAGTTAAGCAGTTGCTGTCAAGTTGGATTCAACTGATAGCAATCCCAAATGCTTTCTGATAGGATTTTTCAGAACTAGATCTCCAGACATTTCTTCCAAGGTGCCTCTGGGTGGATGTCAACCATTGATCTTCAGTAGCACTCCTGTATTAATCATTTAAACTACCCAGGGACTCACCAGCATACTTTTGTTGTTAAAGTCTCTTGAGTTGGTTTCAGCTTGTAGTGACCCTGTGCACAACCAAATGAAACCATTGTTGCTGTTAGATGCCACTGAGTTGAGTACGACTCACAGCAACCCGGTGAACAAAAGATCTGAACCCTGTTCTATTCTGTGCCATCCTCACACTTTCTAACATACAAGAGCCCATTGCAGGAGTCACCATATCAATTCATCTTGTTGAGAGTCTTTCTCTCCTTCAGTGACCCTCCACCCTTTCAAATACTGTGTCCTCCAAGGAATAGCACCTCCTAGCAACATGTTCAAAGAAAATGAGGCAAAACTCATCATTCTTGCCTCCAAAGAGCACTCTGGCTGCACCCTCTCCAAGACATATCTGTTTGTTCTCTTGACTATGAACAGTCAAGAGAACAAACAGCAATGCTCTTCTCAACACCACAGCTCAAAGGTGTCAGTTCTTTTTCTGCCATCTTTATTAATTGTCTTGGATGCATAGCTAGTAATTGGAAACACTATGGCCTGAATCACACACACATAAGTCCTCAAACTGACATCATTACTCCTCAATAGTTTGCAAAGGTCCCTAAACTACAGATTTTCCCAATGTAATGTGTCTCATTTCCTGACTGCTTGTACCAAGGGTGTTAATTGTGGATCTAAGCTAGATGAAGCTGTTGACAGTTTGTTTCCTCTCCTTCCATCATGATATTGTCTGTTGGTTCAGTGGTAAGAATCTTTTGTTTTCTTGATATTGAGATTTAATCCATACTGAAGGCAGCATTCCTTGATCTTCTGTAACAAGTGCTTCAAGTTCTCAGTTTTAGCAAGTAAGGTTGTTTCATCTGCATAATACAGGTTATTGATGAGTCTCTCTCCAATCCTGATGTCACACTCCTCTTCATAGATTCCAGCATCTCAGATAATTTACTCTAAAGGTTGCACTGGAACATTGAGAGGCCAAATCTAAAGGAAAACATGTCCAAGTGAAAGCCCTGAATAGATGATTTCGAAGGATAGCTCAGGAAGACAAAGGAAAGTATTATAATGGAATGTGCAGAGAGCTGGACATGGAGAATAAAAAGGGAAGAACTCTTCTCAAGCTGAAAAGAACTGAAAAACAAACTTAAGCCTTGTGTAATGGCTTCTAGATTAAACAATAGCATCTCCATAATTGTAACTGTGTCCATTGTTGCAACCTCTTTGTCAATTTATCTTCTTTCTTTTTCGTTTTTTTTTAAAGTAACTTTGTGTGTGTGTGTGTGTGTGTGTGTGTGTGTGTTTGTGTGTGTGAGTGTACCATCAAATCAGATCTGACTGGTACAGGAGGAGATTGTCCCTCCTTTTCCCAGCAGCAATTTATCTTCTTGAATGTGTCTTTTACTGCTAACTCTGGAGCAAGCCTGGTGTCTTTGTCCAGACACTTACCCCTCCTTATAGCATATCCAAAGTATGTGAAGTATCACCGTCTTTACTTTTAAGGAGTATTCTGGACAACTCGTTCTCCAATACAGACTTGTTTGTTCTTTTAGCAGTTTGTAATATATTCTTTGCCAACACCACAAATCAAAGGCATCAATTCTTCTTCAGTCTTCCTAGACATTGTCTGGTTTTCACATGTGTATATAGCACCTGAAAAATTCCATGGCTCAAGTAAGGTGCACGTCTTTATTAGTACTTTAAAGAGGTCCATCACAGTGCGTTTGTCTAATGCAGTACACCATTTACTTCTTAACTGCTGCACGGCTGTTGAATATGGGGGTTAAGATTAAAGTAAATCCTTGACAGTGTCAAACTTTTCTCCATTTATCATGGTATTGTTGTTTGGTCTGGTTGTGGTGCTTTTTGTTATCTTTCTGTTGAAGTGTAACTTATTCTGAAGATTACACAGTCTTTGATCTTTGGCAGTAAGTGCTTCAAGTCCTCTTCACTTTTGCAAGCAAGGTTGAGTTATTTGCTTATCACAGATTATTGATGTTTCTTCCTCCAATCTTGATGCTACATTCTTCTTCATATAGTCCAGC